GTTCAAACCATCAAAAAAATATACATTTGTGCATCGATTGTGATATTTATTTTATACATTCATATTAAGTCTTCAAGGCCTATAATAAAGAAAATTCACTAATAAAGACATAAAACTGACAATGAACATGATGCTCTCATTCTCTGTCAGCAAGTTGACGGAGTCGACAAGGTTAAACCGATAAAATGACAATGCCCATAAATACCTCGATGATGGTCATGTAAATGTTTATCTAAATTGGAAGGGACCCTAAATATTTAAAAACGCCTTCCAAATTCTCAAATGCCCATGAAAACTCAAAATTCTCAAAATAGAAGAATCTTGGATATTTAAAATGAAAATAAATCACCAAAATACATGAAGTAAAATATTCATTAACCCTCCGCGATAGTTTGTCGAGGTGGAAAAATCTGAAAATCACTTCAGCTCACAAAGAGCAAATGTTTGGTCGACAATATCTCTAGCATTCTTTCTCAATCATCTCTGTCAGTAGAATGTGACACATATCCTCTAACCAGTGGTTTCGTTGCCAAATGTCATAATAGGTAAACGGTTATGACCGGAACTCTCTGACTGGATAGTTTTGCCGCCAAATGACACCATTATATTACTTTCATGGTCAGAGCCCTCATGTTCCCAATGACGTTAATTCATTGAGTAATAAATCAATAGGGAATAAAGCTCTCTGTTAGCTAAGGTTGATTCAAATTTTTTCCCTTAGACAAACATATACCTCAAGTCTACGAGATACCCTTGGACGACACAACCCATGGCTGCAACGACGCAACCCATGGCTGCTGACAAAGTTCCTTCTGTCAGTTTAGGTCGACTACTTCCTCTGACTAAGAAGACCAGGGATCATGATGGGCCGGGATGATGGAACCATGGGATCTTGATCGGGTTCATCATCATTCCCCCCACCATCCGCTTTAACTGTAAGGTGGTGGATTTTTAATTTTAAATATTAAATTTTCAAATACCAAATTATGCTGCTACTATACATCGTATACTTCGTATCTATTTGACGACTAGCCTAATCGAAAGTTCTCTCTTGTTATCGGGAGGGGTAATTAACTATAGGGGCTTGTACCTATAGGAAACCTTAACTTAGATTATGAAGTCCTTGTAAAATGAGGGCAAAATTTCTGGATAGTGACTTATCTACAAACACAATCTGTTTTCTGAAAATTTGCCTCAGAATCTAAACATTAAAACCCTCCTCTGACCCGA